GATATCGATAAAATTTTAAATTCTTTAGTTTATATTAAAATATATAAGTTTATAGAATATTTGTAAATGTACGTTGTTAATAAAAATAATAAAACGGTTAAATATTTTGTTTACGTATAATGTATATTAAATTGCTTGAATACTGAGAAAGAATCTAAGGGGCGTGACAAGGCAAAGTTACTCTATAACAATTATAAGAAGGCAAGTAAAAACTTTTACCGGAAATAAGATGGGAATGGTGGCGTAGCGAAAATCTGCCAGATTGTTCTTTATTCAAAACTGTCAGTTGAGTCACAAAACTAGTAATGGGCACAAATGACCTGCTATCTTGTTTGATGTTAACTGTTAGTCGATCCCGCACTAGACCCGTCGGGGCACAGATGACCTGCTAGCTTGTCTGATGTTCTGGTGGGATCAGAAATAAAGTGGTACCGGAGACGTGTTGTTTGAAGAATAATACTAATTTCTAAAGTCTTCACGCCTAGGAGCTTAAACCGGATGAAATTAAAGCAAAAAATTGTGGAATGGAACGTCCTCGTAAGCAAGTCCATATCCATCAATCAATCGTTACAGAGAGTTTAACCAGAACAATTGCTACTGGAACTTTCTATGGTGGTATCGTAAATGGACTGCCCATGTCAACGTATGAAATAGCAGACAGGAAGAATTCCAAGAGAAAAGCTACCAATAATGATACAGACAGATGCACCATCACCCACAAAAAAGGTAACAGTGTTTCTTCAAAGATATTCTACAGTATTAGTGTGTTTTCACACTAGTTTATATGTCTACATTAAAATTTTAGAATCAGATCGATAGTTTTTTTTCAAAGCTCCACTGAATAAAATCAAACCAATGCGATTATAAAACGGCGGGAATCGGATGAAGACATTCTCAACGAGGAGGACGAGATATGGTATTCATATTGTTCAATTATCAATATTAATGGTTTCAAACTCAAGGAATTTATACAAGATTACATTTACTTATCTAATGCTTTTTTATGAACAGCTTACTAGTTATTTATATTTACAATAAGCATTAAATGAAGGAGTCAGATTATTCTAGTAAAAATGTAAAAAATTATAAATAGTAAAGCTATAGGAACATAAAAGCTTATATATATTTTTCTAAATATAAGCAAAAAAGAGGCGAAAAAGAGGAGGCCAAGATTCGGAGCAATAGTAAAATGTCCTCTTCGGATATAGGGCCTAAGGATGACAAGAAATAAGTTTGGATTTTACAGGTATTGAAGAAAAGTTGCTATGGGAACGATTAAATAAGGTACATATCAAAGATCCTGATGCTTTTCATATTCTGCATATCTCAACTGTTTGCTTTCGTTTTTAGTGGGAAGTCAGTACTATCATTGTATTGCAAAGGTTTAGAAAACATCAAATAGAAACACTTAAGAAAGTGAAGGTTAATTGACTAAAATAATGTGATTTTCATGAAACGTTATAAGTATTTTTGGTCATATAATAATTATTTTAGATAATATTATGCTAACGATTTCTATTTATGCTTGATAGGGCATTGTCTTTGGTAATTGTTTATTGTTTTAAGCTTACCTTCCCTTACCCTAATTATATTTTTACTATTCGAGAATGACAGAAGATTACACATGAGAATCCATATGCCATATCTGATTCAATACTGTCAACGGAGGTTTTATCCTCTTTACGAAATGCATCATCTGATTCCTTGAAAGGAAAGAATGTTTTTTTGTCCTTAAGTGATTTGGAAATTAACCGAGTGGTTTCTTGAATATTTAATTATATGTAAGCTTTCATCTTATAACATGCATAAATTAAGATCACTGCTTCTCAACTTTGTTTTCATATAACTCTTTTATGTAGTAGTGTTCCTGATGTTTCCCCAACCAAAACATCGGAGGTTGAGCACTCATTCAAGTTGCTACATTCAATCATTCGTCCGTTATTTTTTACTAGTTACGTATATTAATTTATATAGGTGATTTCCTAAAGTTTTTAAACTAAATGCTAATAAAAAATATAATAATTTAATAATCTAATTTATAAATAAACTTACATTTGGTTTAATTATAATTATATAATTCTTATCAGTTAATTATTAATATAATTCAACTTGAGTAAATTTCCGGATGACTAGAACTCGTAATTAAAAAAATCTCTATAAAGAAAAAGAAAATAAAAAAAAAAGATAATGAATAAAATAATAAATAATAATAATAAAATAAATGATGTAAAAAAAGGAAATAAGAAATTATAA